ATCAAATCAATTGTCCTTTGAGAAATCTATTATTTACCAAGATATATTGATGATAATTGAATCAAATAGTGATGAATAATTTAAGGACTCAATTAAAAATATATTATTTTTAACATGAAATAGATTCTTACACTTAACAAAAGAAAACTACCAATCAAACTAAAATGTAAAGGTAAAGACATGTACTAAAAGTGCAATCGATTAACATTTACTATAAAAAATTTGAAACTTTGTATAAAAGTATACATATATATATTATAGGTGTAATAATAAATTTAAAATAGCTACTCCTATATTCGGTTTGGTTCGATTTTTTTTTATTAAAACCAAAACCAAATCAAATTTGATCGGTTTTTAAATTTCAAAACCAAAACTAAACCAAAACAAAAAGTATAGGTTTTTTTGGTCGATTTGGTTTGGCGTTCGGTTTGGTTCGGGTTTTCGGATTTTTATGAACACCCCTATTCAGGAGAAGGCACATGTGGCTCCCATTGATGACAAGATCCGGGAAGCAAGGCTCAGATGGTTCGGGCATGTTCAGAGGAGAACCCTAGATGCTCCGGTGAGAAAATGTGAGCGGTTGGTTGTGGAGGGAACGAGAAGAGGTAGAGGGCGGCCTAAGAAGTATTGGGGAGAGGTGATCAGGCAGGATATGGCGAGGCTTCAGATTTCCGAGGACATGACACTTGATAGGAAGATGTGGAGGTCGAGTATTAGGGTTGTAGGTTAGGAGGTAGTTGAGTCTTTCCTTACTTCGTACCATTGTGAGACCAGTCTGATAGGGTTTTTGTCTAAGATAGCTAGTGGCAATATTGTGTCTTACTATTTCACTTTTCAGTGCACAACCTATTTACTAGCTATCGCTTTTGCTTTGCATCTTTCTTCTGGATTTCATGTTGTTCCTATTTTCTTATGATTTCTGTGGTGATACTAATATTGTCTCCTTTTTCTTTTTGTTTTCTTGAGCCGAGGGTCTTTTGGAACAGTCTCTTTACTCTTTCGGGGTAGGGGTAAGGTTTGCGTACACACTACCCTCCCAAGACCCCACTAGTAGGATTTTACTGGGTTGTTGTTGTTATTGATATCTTACTAAGAAAATTTAACCTTCAATTAATTGTAATGTGCATTTTAAGTCCGTCATGAACTAGACTCCGACCAGTTTCATGGTTTACTCTTAAAACATGTGAATATTAGTATTACATTATGTAATATGCCAAGTGGAGGCTATTTTAGTGCTTATGTTCCACATAGAAAGGTGACAGTTGCGAACAAACTATATCCCCCTAAATTTGCAGTAAAGAAATATCAATATAACCTCCATTTAGCATAGTAAATGTAGGCACGTGGTTCAATAGTTAATATTCTATTGAATTTGCGGGAGGCCATCAATCAAGAGAACAAAGTGGATATTTCAATTAAATGGAAGTTAAATATTGCTTAGTTAGATATCACGAGAACAACAACAAAATCTGACTGAAGGAACCAAAAGTGCAATTTCCCACGGAGGAAAGTGATGTTTGATCAAAAGATAAAGGCAAAAGTCCTTAAGCCAGGACTGAATGTGAAATAGGTGAGCTAGGATGACCTTACTTCTCTCGGATCATGCATGCATAAATTATTTCAAAATTAGGGGTGGCAATTTGAGTCAAAACCCATTTGACCCCGCCAACCGGCCCAAGGTTGGGTTGGTCATTGACCCACCCATTTGTTGAACTCAGCCAATCTTGACCTAACCCATTTCAGCCCATCTAAAGTTGAGCCGATTTTTAGCCCAAGTTGATCCATGAGTAACTTTGCTAAAATATATTAAAAATAATATTTTTTTTGTTTGATATGTTATATATGACCATAATAAAAGGAAAAAAAAAAAGTCTTATTTGATAATTAAAAAATTCATAAGAACACAATAACATTAATTAAAGCTTGGTAAGAATTGGGCGGGTTGGGCTATGACCCAAATTTTAGCCCAACTTGACCTAGCCCATCTCAACCCAAGTTACTTTTGGGTGGGTCAATAACCCGCCCATTTATTGACTCACCCAATTTTAAACCGTCCAAAATTAGCCCAACTCGCCCATTTGACACCCCTAGTCAAAAGCAAAGAAATGTTTAGAAAAAACTGCAGATCAAACCTAGTGAAGTGCTGATAGAAGATCTGATAACACAAGGTAATGGGATCAGGGCCAGAAGGAGGACAAATCCAGAATGTTGAGCAAGTAGAGATGGCATACAGGTGTTTGTGATTCTTTTTATCAAATGACGTATAGTTATTTGTGATTATTCTTACATTGCACATTCTAAGACTATATCATAGAAATATGTGGGAAAGGAGTAAGCATATCATTGAAATTGTGGCAATTTAATAAGAGCATATCATTCAAATAGTGGCAATTTAATAAGGTATGCATGACTAGGGAAAACACAAGTTTTGAAACTTTGCAGCAGAAAGTGATCTGATGAAGATTACCAATTTTAGTATCTAAAAGGACCCAAAAGAACAGAATAGGTTATCCCTTCATGGATTAGAAGAAGAACCAGTAAATTGCTAAGTTTTAAACAAGCTAATAGAAAGACTTACAATAAAAGATCTCCTGTTTTAATTTCAGTGCTGAGAAGGAGCATCGCCATTTCTTAAGCGATTTACAAAGTTCATCTTTGATGGGCTTTGTGATATCCTACAAAAGGTAAGTGATGCCGATAGAGTATAAATATTATCAAACTATCTAAAAAAGAACGATTACCAAGTTTGTTGGCAATAACATCAGGTCAAGCATAGTTTCTGATTTGAAGCCAATGTATCAAACTTGAAATTTATTGGTTAAACTAGCATGAAGGTTAACATAAGCAAGTAAAAAAGCAAATGCATTCCTTCAAAGTAACTGTTTTTCTTCCTTCTCTTTTTTTTTTTTTTTTTTTTTTGAATGGTAAATGCTACTCAAAAGAACATTTCTTGCAACAGAGAGAACAGATGGAAGAGCAAAGAAAAGCAGAATAGTAGCAAGTCTGAATATCTGACGTATTTTAAGTCTCATCTTACTGGAAGCATAGAGAATGGATAGAAAGTACAGTGGAAGTATGGATCACCTGATGAAAACCAGAGATCAGCCTCAAAGAGAGGCTTTCATAGCACCTGGCACGAATAATTCAAACTTATAATACCATAAGCTAACGACACAGGGATCAATTTAAAGGGCAAAGTGTTAAACACATACCAATTCTCCATCAAAAGGGCAGGAATCTCCACAAAATCAGGATCCAGGCGCAGCCCCGAGAATTTGGCAAATGATGCACAGTTGCAAATGTGATGTATCTGAAGCAAATACATCAGTGAGAACACACTTAGCTGTTCCAAAAATTAACCCGGTGTGTGGATGAGATTTTACATAGAGAAGTACATAAGGTAAACTTTATCAATATGGGTACCACAGCTGAATGATAAGCATCTACAAAGTGGTTGCCCAACATATTTTAGCCAAATAGCAGGAATAAATACAGACATGAATTAATCCTCGAGTTAGGTCTCCTTTCGACCATAAACAAAGCGACTCTACTTTTCAATTTAGTAATCGAGAAATTCCAAAGGGCGAACTAGCGCATTGTTCGAAACTCGGGGGATAATGAGCTCGTACCAATACCCTTCTCTACTTAAATACCACACTTTTGTCTCTGACAGGTTTCGAACATGTGATGTGCAAAGTGACATTACTTGTATCATAAAATTATTCATGGAAGAGCATTTGATTTTAATCTTTAATAATGGTAGAAGCTAATTTCTCTATTCATGAATATGAAAGGAATTCGTACCGTTACAAGAAATCAAAACAAATGAAAGAGAATATTAAATGATGTGCTACATGTATTGATCTAGTAAATGTATTTAGACTATATTTACAACTAATATTCTATAATACTCCCCCTCGAGTTGGAGCGTAGATGTTGACCCTGCCCAACTTGCTCCAAAGATAATTAACTCGAGTTCTATTCAGCGAATTTGTGAATAAAATAAGCTAGTTGCTCTCCAGTCTTTACATAACTAGTGGAAATCAGGTACTCCTGAATCTTCTCACGAATAAAGTGACAATCAACCTCGATATGTTTGATTCTTTCATGATATACTGGATCGAGGCGATATGCAGAGCGACTTGATTATCACACCAGAATTTTGCTGGTATAGGGTAGTTCAACTCAATTTCTATCAAATGGTTATGTATTCACATAATCTCACTCGTGGCCTGTGCCATAGCTCTGTACTCGGATTCTGCACTTGACCGAGATACAACATTTTGTTTCTTACTCCTCCATGATATAAAATTTCCACCAACAAAGACACAATAACTGATAGTCTAAGTTGCTCTGACACGGCAATTTAGGTGTCGCACCTGTGTCGACACGACACTAGCATGGGTGTGCGCATGGGATCTGTACCGGATTTGGTCAAACAATTTTGGATACTTTGACCACAACGATGGAAAAATTCGAGACGAGATACAATTTGATTCGGAAATCAGAACCAAAACTAGGGTAAATTTGAAGAAATTAGCATATCTTATCTAGGAAATCAATCCTTTACTTATCTACAACTTGAAAATAAAAAATAAATCCACACTTTACAAGCTATACGTAAGTATTCCATAAAAATTCTCATAATTTAGAGATACTTTTCTATTTTTATTTTTTTGAATCAGTTTTAGTTAGATCCTCGCAAACGTATCCGTACTAGGATCTGTATCCCTAATATTAGAATTTACATCTTGAAGGATCCGACCTCTAGATCTGCACCCGTATCAAAGACCTGCACCCGTATCCGAGCAGCTTAGCCGGTAGTAAACCTTCTACCAATTTTAGATCCAACCCAATCAACATTTGCAAACCACCCAATGTAAATAATTAGACCCATTTAATTTATACTGTGTAATTTTGGATAATGCTGGAACTATTCTAGTCACGGAAGCTTTATCATCAGACATTTTAACTGATATTTAGTCAACTGATGAATAAAAGTAAAAAAATGAACAATCTGACACCCAAAATTGGTTGACAAGAGCAAGACGTGAATGATACCGAATAAACAGCACACACACAAAATAATAGCAATCCGACACCCAAACAGAATCTGATAGTTGTAGAAGCACAAAACAAATTACCAAATTGACTGTCTTAGAAGTATAGGGAAAAATAAAGCCAATCTGGACGTGAAGAATAAACTCCAAACAGTGTTTTAACACCAAGAAAAACACATGGTATATGCTAGAATTGATGAGGTGATGCCGGAGTGTGAGAGGCAGTCGCGAGGTGGTGTGTGTGACTCACTCGATGCCTACCCTGTCGCCGGGAAAAAATTCTCAGCATGAATTGAGCCCTAGCAGCTCTGATACCATGTAATTCAATGGTAGAAGTTGATTTCTCTATTCATAAATATGAAAGGAATTTATACAGTTACAAGAAATCTATCTAAGGAAAGAAATCAAAACAAATAAAAAAGAATATTACAAGATCTGCTAAATGTATCTAGAATGATCTAGTAAATGTATTAAGACTATATTTATAGCTAATATTCTATAACATAATCCTTTTGGTCCTTGAACTTCAACTATGCATTGGCAACTAGAATTCTATGTGCCAGAAGGTGGATGTCATTTGATGTAGTGATGCCATTACATAAGGGCAAAAGGAAATCAACCCATATGATAGGGGGGAAAAGGAGGATAAGAAAAGAAAGGAGACGAACACTTGTTAGATCTGCATCTTGTCCCTTACTTGACTTGTCTTAGCAGAGAACTAGAAAGAGAACAAGAATTCTTTTTACCTTGATAAAGGTGGTGTGTGGTCCAACTTATGCACACTATCTACCAGGTATTCACTATCTTCAGCCACCACGAGTATCGGTAACTCCGTTCACAAAGACTTAATAGATGGAGAGAATAGCATTTTTGCCTCTGCTAGGTTTTGTACAGTTAAATATAGCAACAATTCATACTATGTAAATATAGAAGGATACCCAAATCCTGTAATTAGGTAATTAGGAGATTTTGTAGGCCTGTAATTATAGCATTTCCTTATTTGTATTTCATGCGAAGGTTATTTAAACCCAACAGCTTGAGCTTTAAGGGAATAATCAAGCAATCTATTCTACGAATTCTTTCTTCTCTTCTTGTCTTGACATGGTATAGAGCCAGGCTCTTCGCCAATTTATTGTTTACCCAATGTTGGGTCCCCATCTTATATTGTCAACACTCTAGATGTCCAGTCCCGGGCATGTTGGTGGTGAGAGTGTTGAGTCCCACATTGGCTGTGGAAAGCAAAATTGAACTCCTTATATGATCTTGGCAATTCATATCCCATAAGCTAGCTTTTTGGTTGAGTTAGGCCGAAGGTCTATTTCTTTATCAATTATATGTGAAAAAGTTGTGATCAAAGAAAAAGCTATTTCACTTCCAAGATAGTAATATTATCATATAAAATGGAACAAATGGAATATTCTATATTTTTTTGTTGTTATACACAAATGAAGTACTATATTACGATAAGAAATAATACAGTATACTATTATCATTTACATTCTTACATGTTCTTACTAAAACAATAGTATCAAAAGTTAACACAACAAAACAACACTGAGGAAAAATTGAGACAATTGGGATTATTGGAGGAAGTTTAATATTGGCTATATGCAATAAACTAATTGAAAATTTGGTATGGACTTTAAATTATTAACGAATACGAAACCATTAGCACCCAAAGGAGAAGCTCTAATCGGGAACCGAAATGAGTTGTGTAGGCTAGAGAATAGGAAGGGGGTTAGAAAAAGGATAAATGGAAGGGGAAAAAAAGAACAGAAAAGAGAGAAGTGATTGTTAATGATGTTAGTTGTTGTCTTGTTTTTGGTTCTAGCTTTGCCTTTAAAATAGGTCCTGTTATGAATGCACATCACATTGCAGCTCCAAAAGGGACCAGCGTGGCCGTGAGCAAATGCAAATAAAATTTTAAGGACCAAAGATGCAAAATCTGACTTAGAGGACAGAAGAGTTTTGGGGCTTCTGTGGTTAGCCATTCAATTTTTGTTACAGCTCAAGTCTATGGTACGTACTGTTCCCTTTGGCCCAACTGACCTCATGGATTGGCCTCTTTGGTTACATCACATTGAGCTAACAAGCAGGTGTACCATGTGTTTGTGATCTGTCTTATATAGCACATCACTTTTGTGTCCCTTTCCAGTGCAGGATAGGTGTCATGCATTCCATCTTTATTAGTCTGTTAGCCTACAGTCTGTTGGTCCTTCTCCTTAACACGTCCTTATCACCCTGCTCCTTCATGGGCATCACATGCACCCATCTGAAGAACTCAGCGTCCTTGTAGAGGTTTGTCCCATTATCGTACCCATAGTACATATTGTTCGCATTAACCAAAAAGATGTCACAAATTTGTGTCTTAAGTTACTCCATATCGAGCCGAAAAGCCTGGGTACCACGTGAACTTTTATTCAGCAGAGAAATCTCCGAGGACCAGAGGTGGATGATTGGAAACTCGGTGGATAATGGGTCTGCCCCTCTATCCTTCTCCACTTAAATACCTAACTTTTGTTTGCGGCAGATGTGCGCCTAATTCACACATTGGCATACCATGAACTTGTGCTTTGTTTTTTATAGTACATCACTTTTCTCTCTCTTTCTAATGTGTGATTTGTCTAAGATGTCAAATGCACCTCTTCTTAGGGAGCTTTCTAACCTGGAATCCTGTCAGTCATTCTCCTTTGACCCGCCCCCATCAGTCCTCCCTCATTCATGGCGTCACAATTTTACACATGATACTTTTTACTCCACCAAACACATACAATTAAGAATAAGATAAGCATTTCTCTCTAGAAGTCTTCCAGTAAGCTTTAACAAGATAATGTCAAAGGTACGGCTCTATAGTTCTCCTTCATGGCAATATATACAATAAAGTTTCATGGCATCATACTTCAATTCTTTGGTTGAAGCACGGCCTTCATTTTTTAACAAGTTCAGATCAGGCGATTAATCACATCTGACAATTTTTTCTTGTTACCACTTTCCGAGCTGCAGACAATCCTTATATGTAACGAAGGCAGCTCGATAATGATTTCAACATGGATTCGACCCGAACTAAACCATTTTTCAAGGGACTGGCAGTCACTTGGATTAATTCCAGTGCACCCCTTGACTAACAAGTTGTGAAGCTGGCAATGGCTCTTAGCCAGTGCCCCACAAGGTTTTTCCTCAAAATTGAAATTATTAGACAAAACAATAATCGCAAGATTGGCTAAGAAAAAAGGACATACTAGTATTTAATTGGAAGGGAGGTGCCAGGTGACATTGCTCTCCAATTGTATTATAACTTGACATGAGAGATAACTGGAATTCAGACTAGTGTTCTAATTTTTCACTAGGCATGAAAGGAAAGTCACATACCACATGACCAAATTCATGGAAAAGATTCACCACTTCAGGGAATTGCAACAACCCAGGGTGACCATCAACTTTCTTTTCAAATTGAGAAACAAGTAGTGCCACAGGAATCTGGATCCAAGGAAATTTCGTTAGTGAAAATCTAAAAACTAGAATCAGGCAAATGATACATCCAGCAGTTACCTGTCTTGAACCATTATTTAGTAAACCATTCTGAAGAGCTACGACACAGGTGTGCGCATATTTACCGACTCTGTTAAAATTGCAACGAATTTTCAGTATTCTACAATAAAGTTGATAAAGGAAGCACATTGAACTTGAAGAAGAATAATCGAGCTGGGATAACCTGGAGTATAGATCTAGGTAAAAATAACCAACAAGTCCTTTAGAACTTAGATCTGAAGTTGAAAATAGCTGCACATCTGGATGCCAAACCTCAGCACCTTCAACTTCCTTGAAATCTAAGCCTAATATTAAATAAATTATTATTATTATTATTACATTATTGTGCTATGAGTAAGGGAAAAAGGATCAAAGACAGCACCAAACACAATTCGGGGTGATTACCAAATAAGTCTTGGCAGATTTTGAAGATGCCGGACAAAACCAAATTGATAGGGAAGTACTGTTTAATTACTCCAAAATTCATATGGAATTGTTGATCTTTGACTCTTTTGACGTAGTATGGAAGATCCTCCATGCCGAAAGGACATTCGCCTTCCTCTTTCTTCTACATTACCAGAACACAAGAATCTTCAAGAGGTGAAGCATATAGGTGAAACAGACCAAACATAAGCTAAAGTGTCAACATACAGGAAATTCGAAGTTACCTTTAATGCTTTAACCATCGAAAGTTCCCTGTAGGCTAAATCATTTAAGCTAGCAGAGAGACTCTCCAAGAACTCAAACACCTAATAAGTTTGAAAATCAAGAGAAACGGCAGACCAAAATTCATTTTGCAAACTTGTAATAAACATTCCAAATATATAAAACATAAATTGTTACTCTTTGCATATAGTGGAAATGATAGATATTCAGCACCTCTTAACATTTTGTGCATAATCCTTCTCTTTTTTTATAGTAGTGGTTAGAACTATTAAAAGGAAAGAAAGGGTAATGACGGAATAGAGTAAAGAGAGACATGTATTCCTAGGAGCCAAGGGAGTTGTGTATTCTTCTTGAGGGCAAATTATTCAAGTTCTGTAAAGAATATCAACCAACAATGAATTCTGCACCAACCTTAGAGGAAGACTTTGCCATTCTAACATCAGTGGCATAGTCAGCATAATTTGCAAAGCCAAGCAATCTAGCAAGCTTGTGCCGCAACTGAATCTGAAATTGTACAAGAAACATGAATATTAACTGGAATTTGAATAGGAGGAGAAGACAGCATATTAGTACATTGGTCAGTCAATCTGCATCCATCAGGAACTTAAGCGTACAGTAAGTTCATCTTAATCATCAGCATTTTCTGTGAAAACAATATTCTCCACAGACAACCAAAACAATCGAAGTAAAAGCTCATAGTACATTCAGTTCTCAATATAATAGAACTCCTAAGAGTATCAAGTATCATGTCAACTTCTTTTTCTATGCAAATGCTCAGAAACTGCAAACTTTTGGGCATTCATACCAGCTTTTCAAGGATAGTAACATTGGCTTCACATCTGCGCCCATAGGAAATAGAAACAGCTCTTCTGGTTGATCCCACCTTCAAAGACAGAGAATTTCTATATCACAAATGTTTAGGATGGTTATCAAGGAGACAGACATAGAACTTTCAGAAGTAACATTTTTGCATAAAATAAGACCTTATTTCAAGATGTACATTGAAGAGATAATTAAAGACTGAAGCAATAAAAAAATAAATACAGGGTGAGGTATTTCTGTCAGGAACTTGAATTTTGAGCAAGAATTTAACAGCACCGCATAAACCCAGCTTGGCTCAAGATAAGTAATCGAATTTGCTCCCAAAATGGGTCCAACAACCAGCTTAAGTCCACAAATGGGCTGCTCTTTTTTTTTTTTTTTTTTTTTTTTTTTTTGGGGGGGTTACAAAAAAGGAGAGTTTGCAGCTTTCAACGACCTATATTTTGATTGGACACGACTGACGGCTATTTAGGCCTAATTAAGTACAGGTCGTTGGATATTACTAAAATCTACTACCTTTAAGATTAAAGGTAGATTTTTGTAAATGTCCAATGACCTATATAAAAAATATAACGCCCACCCAGCCACGAACGAAACACAAAAACGCCAAAAGTTTGCCCCTTCTCGCAGTAAAAACCGGCAATCTCCCCATTTCTAAGCCCCAAGCTCTCGGTTTCTGAACCAGATACCCATCATCCACGATGTATAGATGGGAAGTTCTAGTGTCATGTTTGTGCCCCTCCTCTACAGTCGTGTCATACAGTGCTTATACAAATCTAGGTTCTGTGTGATGTACGCTTTTGGCCGTATACAATTTGATTGACGGTTGATCATGGTGCTTTTAAAGCGTCGGCACCCAGAGACATACATTCTAGGCAACTACCACACTAGAAGACATTGAGCTAATTTAAAGGCTTCCTGTAGATGTCCATAGTCCACACTGTTGGGAGGGGTTGTGGGGTACCAAGGTGGCGAGATGAGATGAAGCATTTGACAGACTTTCACCCCATTGCTAATTCGTTAAAAGGGTGGCAGATTGGCACATATCTGATTAAGACCTACTTTGACTAGGCAGCAGATATTACTATGGATGCTCCCGACGAGGTAGTGCAGCAGGGATGCCAGCGTACATAGTATGCATGTAATATATGCATTTACATGTTTCATGCTACACCAAAAACAAAACAAAAATTAGCCTTAATCTAGAGAATCAAATTAGCAGTATCTTCAAAGCATCTTTTATTTCTCTCAAGCCATATAGTCCACTGAAAATGTTGGTTTATGTTTAGTCAACAATGGCATGCTGAAAATGTTGGTTTATGTTTAG